TTTTTGAAGTCTCCAACTAGTTTTTGCCTCGGGATTCATGCCTGATCAAGCTAATTTTGTGATGATGTATCAATAGTAGTCGGCCATGTAAGCATTGGACAAGTTACAAATCAATAGATGGAAAGTAACAAAAAAGCTTGGGAGTTATAAATTTCAAGAAAGTTACAAATCAAGAGCTAAACTACAAAAGAATTTGGAGTTGCAAAACTTTGAGGAAGTGAGTTACTAACCAAGGTTTAGGAAGTTAAAAAACTTAAGAGGAAGAGAGTTACAAATCAAGAGCTAGGAAAAATAAAGTACACCCTCCCTTCCTATTTATTGCCCTATCCTCTCGCTTATACGTAAGCTCCAATCTCAAGAACCTGCCCAAACAATGAGCTACACTTTTTCCTCACTACTCAAAACTAAACCTCACATAAGTCTTATGACAGTAAGTCGGGTTCGGATCCTATTTATTATATCATTTCTTCTAATTAGCACTTTTTTTCTTATTTTTCTCTTTTGGGAGGGAAGATTTGTAAATAAAGGTTTATAATTTTAATATGGACTGGCCTATTTATACTTCTACTCCTCCTTATAGGGGGCACTTTTTTGTTTGAGTTTAAAGTTCGGGTTTTGTCCTAATTTTGGAAAGGATTTTCTTGTTCTTTAAGAGGCTGAAAGAAGGAGGTATTTGTAGCAGAGTTGAGGATTTAGCTACCACTGACGGCAAGTCCCTACCTCCTTTTTCAGCTGCCAATTTTAGCGGGGAAAAAACTGGTGGTGGCAGCATCGTGGTTCATTGTAGCCTTGTAGGATACAGTTCTCTTGAGGAATCAAGCCCAAGGGTGGAAACAGTGCAGCTAACACTAGTAATCACAGGTTATTGCAATGAGGCGGATATCACTAGCTAGCAATCATTCAATATCAACCCAGTTCTCTTAAGTTTTCAAAAGAGACAACAGAAGGAATATCATTGGAGGCTGACAAGAGGAAGATATTTGGGCAAAAGATTCAAATATTAGGTTCTCTGTTATCCTTTTCTTTAATTTCAATTATTTTTTTTCTCTCGGTTTAGTTATTTTATCACTATTTTCCTTATAGGATCTAGGGTAGTTAAAGAACCACTCCAAACCAAGATTCTAGTAAGAAGCGGGTGTTCATTTTGTAGCCTGGGAGTGGGAGGCGGAAATAGAGAATATCGCAGTATCAAGAATTGTCTGCATGTTGGCAATGGTGCAGACCCATAAAAAATCAAGTATTAACCGGTTCATTTCCACTTGCATGGAACTCATACGAGTAATTTTGTATAACCTTTGGTTTTGCGAAACAGAGAACCATTTTCATGATAGTAAGGATATTTGAAATCAGACAATATCATAAAGGAGTCCTATAATTCAGTTTGTTATATTTTTTATTATCTTACCACCTATTGGTTTAGAATCAGATAACTCTTCAGATCTATTTTTATAAATATATTTTTGATAATTTTTGTATTTTTTCCTACGTTAAGAATATCAGCTTAGCATACATTCTACTCAATTCCATTAAAATAAACTCTAATCTTCTTTGACTAAGGACACTCACCTTCTTAGCAAGAGATGTGGCTTCATCATGCCTAAACCTAAAACCCGATTCCCACCAAAAAGCCTTTAAACCTAGAACTTAGACTAAAGGTTCCACCAAAAACTCTATTTCTGTAACAATTTTACAAAAAAGCAACCAAAAAATCCTATTTCATAATCATCACTATCTTTATCTTAACTATGTGGAATCGATTTTTTAAATTCAAATTCTCTGTTTGTTTGTATAGAGTGCTTAATAAGGTTTCTAAACCTAATTTCTCCAATCTAAGTTTGTATGTCTTATTCTAATATATGATCACTGTATTGCTAATAGATATTTTCTTATGCTTTCTCTGTTTAGTCTTTTCTTCAGTTTTAGAAGAGTCCTTCATTTTTAGTCTTTTTCGTCTTCTTATAATCGGTGAGCTGTCATGTACTTGGCTATTAATAGCCTATCTGTGTCTTTCTCAAGGTATGTGTGTGCATTCATTTTACAAACAAGATAAAGAACCCCATTGAAAAAGGGGATTGAGAGCTGTGATCTTCTCATTATTTTTCTGTATTCCTCTCAAAAGCTTTTCGTTCCATTGTAAAGAAATTGCATGCAAAGAACGAGTGCTTCTTGGATTAAGAATCTCGGTTTAATGGAGAAAATGACTTCAGTTTGTCCTGTGAGTAAAAAGATCTTAAGAATATCATCTGGAAAAAATAGTGCCTTAAGTAAAGAAATCCCTGTATAGAAACAGTTCAATTATAGCAAACTGAAAAATACAATTGAACGATCATCATCTCTGTAATCATCATTACTAGTCAAATACAAATTGAATGCTATAAGGAATAGAGACGGATGAAATACGTCTACCAAGTTGATTTAAGGGGATTACTAACTTCAGACCATTTGGGAGAGTAGTGAAATCGCTCTCAGGTACCTTTGCTCCCCTGAGCTGCAAGGAGATGAGAAATAAAGAGTCAAGGGAAACCATTGACATCTCAAGTTATAATATAACGAGCAGATTAAAAAATTTCCTCACTGCTCGTCTACTAGAGGAAATGGCTTCAGCTACACGACACATGTTGAGTCCTGTTGCTAAACGAAAAAGGAGAATATTAGTTAATTTTCGATCAAGCAGGAAAATATGCAGAGCAACTAAATAGAACAAAGCAATAAGATACAATTCCCGCGACTCCCCAGCCATGTCCAAGCAGCTGGCACCGCAGTCCAATCAAATGATCAAAGATAAATTGAATCATTATGGACAAGAAACAACTTCAAAACCTAAGAAATAATTATAATGACTAAATTCCTTTTATTTCTAAGTTCGCCTTTCAATTAAATGAGGTTCATCAATTTAAATGATCCTTAAAAACTAATGCTAATTACAATTCAATCTTGGGATATGCCCCACTCAATTTATAACTTTCTATACATTCTGAACTGATTAAACGAAATCAAATCAATAAAGCGTGTATATAAATCAGGAAATAGGAGAAGTATGAATCAACCGTCCAATTTTATGTCCTTTTGAGGGCTTTCAACTTAATGGGGTTGTATTTGGCATCGGGTGATCTTATGGAATCGCCACAGGTTCTTTTATCAGGATTTTTTTTTTTTTAAAATTCAAGGTGCAATAACCACAACAGAGGTTAATATTAGCTAAAACCTTAAAAAAGTTGTTCCCTGGGACAACCTATCTAAAAACAGAAATATCAAGGGCATGGACCTGAGCCCTAAATAAAAAATTCTTAGTGCAATTCCAATAGAAGGCCCAGAGCCCCATGAGATGAAAGGACAGCAATGACACTGTAGGGCTTGAACCTCTTAATATTGACTTATGAAGTTAAGAGGCAACTGATGAGATTACATGCTGTAGATGGAGGATCAATAGCACCATTAAGAACAAGCACGATAGTAGGATAGAGTCTGAGGTTAAGGAGCTCTCCAAATCCATGCATCTAATGGCCTGAACCAAAATGAATATCCATAAACATGAATTCAAAGGTAGGGTTACAGCTTGAAAATAGGACAAAATATATGAATAAGGATCTTTAAACACAGTTGGTTATGCCGTGGGATGGAAAGTATTATAATACAAACTTGAAGCTCGCCAAAGTGAGATGTGCAAAAGGTAATGGAATTGAGCAATTTCACTATTCATATACTAGACACAATTTCCAAGTATGGTTTTAAGAATGCAATGTACTTGGCGAGCAAGATGTAACTCTATTTTCGTAATTCACAAGGCCATAGTGCCATACTATGTTAAGTATTCTTTGCTTTGGTAGAGCCCATCCCATACCAAATAAGCCTAAAAGTTTTGTCCTTTTTTGAGTAACTTTCCAAGGGTCACCCTTCCTAGAGTGCTCCATTAGGAGGGCGCTTAATTGTCGAGTTCAGGAAGGAAATCACAATTATACCAAAATGCAATTTGAATATTATGGCTTAATTCTTTACTTATATAGTATAATATCATTACCATTCTTTACTAATGTGAATTTTGTTCATTCATGCCCTCTTTTCTTTTGAAATTATGTCACATCCTAAAAGCATGTCAAGAGTCCTCCTTATATGGGCCTAAGCCCCAAAAAGCCCTCCCTGCCCTCTCAGATTCATAATTTCACAAAATTGCTAGTTTTCTTTTGATTCATCTCCTAACAACACATTATATTAGAGAAGTTTAGGATTTGACACCAATTATAACGCCTCACGCCATACTATGCAATACATTAATTATTTATTTTAGCCCAATCTATCTCATATTAGGCTAAACCTTATGGTTTCATCTTTTTTCGTGTATCTTATCAAGGATCACCCATCTCAAAAGTGTTTCATTACAAAAATAATTAACTGGGGAGTTCCCAATGTTATGGCTTAACTCTTTACTTAGATAGCCCAATATCTTTTCCTTTCCTTCTGACGTGGGATTTGATTTATTTTTACCACAATCTTGTCCTATAAGTTTCCATTCTAGAAGCCTGTAAGGAGTTTCTCTATTTTTGGACCTAAGAACTGGCAATCACCCCAACCCTCTCATCAAACCGTCATCTTAGAATTATGAATGTCACCGTTCTTACCATCGATATAGACATGTGGTTAGCAAAGCAAGAATGAAATGACCAAAACGTATTGTCAATTTTTCTTGCAAGATCTGACTAGAAGAGCTACCAACTTTGAATGTGTTCTTCTAGCGGTCAACAAAAGATATTAGAAAAATGTGTATTGAGAGATTGGCCAGGTTTTCATCCCTTTTTTGAATTTGGGGTTGGCTGAAAAAGGCTGGAATTGGAAAATAAAGTTTTTTTTTTTTTTTTTTTTTCAGGGGGGAAGGAAGTGCGTTGGGGGGGGGCATTATAAAATTTCTAGTAATTATTAGGATGCATCATCAAGAGATCACTAGTCAAGCCAGATTTATGATAGAATTGTACCACCCACCAGCACAATGAAGTATAGGCAAATTAGGAGCTTTTTAATGCATACTTAAAACTGGAAGCTTAAACCAAAAATAGAAAAAAAATATTAAGAAGCTTGTTTCATAAGGAAGCATGCACTTTAATACACTTTTAAGAGCAATGGTAATGTCCATTTGAAACTCCTGCATTTATAATCATACAGAGAATACACTGAAAGTAACCACGTTAAAAATAAGATGTGTCAAGGTTTTCTTCAATCAATGATCATAGAAATAAAATCTCTGAACCATTCCAACTCATTGAAATTCATCTTAGTAATTGACCATAAATCAATATAGGGCCACTAATGAGCATTTCTAAATTTATTATGTGGACTAAGTAACAGCAATCGTTTAGACAACACTGTAATTTAACATTTTAACCAGATCTCATATTTTTTCAGATAAAAGCGGCTCAAGTTTAAAATATGTAAAAGTAAAATTGCAAGAAACATCAACTTTTGGTTTTTTCTTTAAGGTACGATGTTTTAATAAGTACATTAATGGTACCGTGTTGATAGGTTTTATGGATAACCTATTATATGAAAATAATTAGATAAGCTAAAACCACATAGGACAAAACATAGAGCCTATTAAAGCCCAAACCAAATCTAAAAGATTGGATATAAATATCCTTACTATAGTTATACATCAGTAGTATGCCGCATGAAGCATGCCCATTTGAAGTTCGCCCAACACTACAATTGCCAGAGAAGCCTTAAGCAATCTATTACGGTTAGGAATACTTGATTTGTTTTTTTAATTGTACCAAATTCTTTTAATAATTTGTGAAAACGAATGGATCATGGAATCATTCAATTCTATAGTCTCATTAAAGACTGGATAGCATACGAAACCTCTTCAATACTTCATGGCCTAACTATGATGCAACTTGTTCCATTCAAGATAGAGTAATCCTACTAGTCCAACTTCAAAAAGCCAGATGAACCTTTTATATAAATTAGCAGATGGTTTAAAATCCATAAGATCACTAGTTCGTTGATATGGATTTTAAAACAAGCAAAACAACCCATGATTAAAGCAACAATAATTTGCATATTCATAATCACTTATGCTGACTGTCCAAGCTATTAGGGAAGAGAGTGCTCTCAGCCCAAGGGCAAATATGATAAATCACAAAGTAACTGTAAAACAAAGATAAAAATAATAAAAAAGAACACCTAAATATACGTGGTTTAACTTAGATAAACCTATGTCCATAACTGCATTGAAATCAAATAATACACTATGCTTCAAAAAAATATATGAAGAATTACGCTTCATATAAAATTAGATACATGGACAACTTTACCTAGTTGAAAGAAAATACAGCCACCTATTATAAAGATGAGATAAAAAAAAAAGAGATCTAAATTTCTTCTTGTTGAAGAAGATGAAGTCTACTTGTTAGCACCCGAAAGACTTCTTCCTTCCTATCCAGATGACATCCCTCTCTTCTATCTTCGTCTTTCTCTACTCTCTTTCTTGCTTCTTGTTGTGAGATGCACTAAAAATGCGGATTAAATGAATTTATATAGTGAAGAACTCACCTTCTAACTTAATGAACAACCACCATTAAAGACTCCCGTAGCCTTCATCGTAATCTTTTGCAATAGCCTCAATTTAGAACTTTTAGTAACCCTCATTTAGCACTTTGTGGTAGCCTTTATTTAAGATTTTATAATTGCCTCCAATTAGGACTTTAGGTAGCCACCAATCTCAAAAAAACAAAAAAAAAAACAAATCTTATCCAAAATAGTTGATAAACTGAGACTTTGCAATGTAAAAACTTAATGAACATGCTCCCACTTGGAGACTGGATTTTCAATGTAAAAACTTAATGAACATGTTTCAAATCTCTGTTTAGGTGGCACCTTCATGTCATTGGTCATGAAGGCTAACTGAGGCTTTGCAATGCCATAGTCCAATAGTGGCAAATTTGCCAAATTTTTTCTTCTTATGTTGCTCTTTTATTCTTAATTTTTATTTATCATGCAGTGCCTATTTATCTTTTAGAAGCTCCCGCTTAAAAGAAATTTTAACATACTCTTCTATAATCATTAGCAATAGATTCAAAGCAATTCCCAAATTTTTAATACTTAATGTCATATACTTAATACCATTTTTTTCTTTCATGAATTGCCACAATATTTGTTGAACCTAACACATTAGCATGTGACATCACAGTCTCCAGCGCAAGAGAAAAAGCCCTTTCAAATCGAAATGACAGTAAATCCAAATGCTAACCTGCGACAAACATGAGACCAACCAATGCTCTCCTTCCCCCGGACTCGGAGAAATAAGTATCTGCGGAGCAGAAGCAAAACAAAACAGAAGATGGTTTCCCATATGAACGACGGGGCTTCGCTGCAGGCGACAAAAACCATAAGGTGAGAGACACATGGATACTCAACGTGGTGGGGTGGGGGTATGCATAAATGAGAGTTAGATAGGCAAAAGCAGATGTACAGAATAACTGTCGTCGTTTAGAAATGGATAGAGAGCTGAGTCGCTGCTGATGCCCTAGCGGAAGGAGGGAGAGCTCCATTGCCGTGGATAGAGAGCTGAGGAGTTATTTCCACTTCGTTTAGAGGAAAGAGGCTGTCTTTGCTTGGCTTGTGATGTAGTTATCTCCAGTTCGCGGCTCAGCTTGTTTGCTCTACCTCGCTAAAAAAGTGAGATGATTAAATAGGCTAATTATATGTAAACTAATTAATAGGTTATTACGATTTGGTTGTTTGAAAAAGAAATGCGCTGATATAAAAAAATACTTCTTCTTCTTTTTTTAATTTGAAGTAAAGTTGTTGTAATGTAAAGTGAATAGCGATGGTCAGAGGCTGCGGCGGTGATCGGAGGAGGGAGGCGGTGGTAGTCGGCAGTGGTGGTTGGAGGTGGCGTCCAACGACAAAGGCGGTGGGGGTGACTAGCAGCAATGACCGACAATGGTGGCCAACAAGTGGTGACAATGCCCTTGAATTTGTCGTGTATTTAAAAATCATCAAATACACTGCATTTGATTTACTTTATCTTGAATTAATTTTTTATCTAATCAAACATCAAAATTATCAAAACTCTTGCAATTGCCCCCCTAAAAAAAAATAAAACTATTAGTATGATAAGCGTTATTTGTAATTTGCCCCATGCCGATCTTTTTTTTTTCAAGCAATTTAGCCTTTCAAAAATCGGAAAGCTTTTTGGCATCCCACTATTTTCATTCGATTATATTGAACTTTTCTAAGACTAACAAACTAGTCTGAGAAAAGCCATTATATATATATATATATATATATTTTAAGTTTGCCACTTGCCTCTCCCTTGAGAACTAAGGCTGGTTCCGCCCCTGATCCCAGGAGACAATAAACAACTAACTTTGCAGCAAAGTTGTTTCCCAATTTTTTCTCAAAATATTTTGCTACAATTTTTTGATAGATTTTTTGTCGAAAAAGATAGATATAATTAAAGTGATATAAATTTCAATCAGACGGGACCAAAATAACTTCTGAAATGTGGCATATTTGACTTTTTTTTTTTTCAAAAATGAATATCAATAAAAATAAATAAATTTGAGGGTAAGAAAAAGAACATTAAAATTTAAATTATTTTTTTCATCAATGAATAAAATGGATAATATAAAAAATAGGTTAATAATATAAGATGGAATCCTAATAAAAATATATATAATTTTAATTCTCATAATTTACAATTAATTATGAACATATTGAAAATTATGAACCATAGCAAGTCAATTTTTATTTTGAAGTGAAAAGGGAGAGACATCATTTTTGTTCTTATATTTTTGGATAGAGGTCTAAGTAACTTATGGGTATTTTAGCACCAAATAAACTTTCCAATCAGTATATTTTCCTAATCTTTACTATTATGGGCTATATAAAGTCTAATTCCTCTTTAGTTATTTTTTAAGTTTAAGATTTGTTTGAGACAACATTGTTATTGTTTTCTAAAACAATTTTTTATTACAAAAAATTTTAATTTTAATTTTTTGTATTAAAAAATTGATTTAAAAAGCAGTAAGAAAGTCATTCCAAAAGTAAACTAAATCTTTGAAATTTTTTATATGTTGAAGATTTTAGTTCGAAATCAATCTTGAAAATACACTCACAAAATTAGCTCGTTCCAAAAGCTCGCCTAGTGAAAAATTTTATCATGATTTATCAAAGAAAAAAATCCATTTAGAAATTCATCTCATCGGTTTTTTTTATAAGTTTTTTTTCCTATTAAAATGATAAATATGTATTTTATGTAATTTTATATCTATAGTTTATTTCTATCATTATAGTTTTCTATTAGATTCAAATTGTTTTCTTAGATCCATATTTCTTATATTAGATCTATATTTTGTTTGTTTGCTCTATTTTTATAAAACAAAGGGATGCGGTATTCATAAGAGATATCAGAGTTTTTATCTGAAAATTTTTGAAGAGGTTTTGCCTAATTGAAATAAATCACTAGTATTTGTGGTCAATCTCACATGATGCCCTTCCTCGAGGGAAAATGTTGGCTCAATATACATCATATAAAGCACAATACATGATCAAATTGGCATATTGATGGCAGCCAGGCGGAGGTCCGACAGCTAGGCGGTAGTCCGACAATGGTCAAGCGGAAGTCCAACGGAGATCAACGGACGAGCAGTGGTCCTACGATTGTTGACGGAAGTTCGTCGGCAATGGTGCTTGGGTAGAACCCTATGATCTTTGAATCCTCATAGCTCTCTCAAATCTCCAGCTAAAGCTCTCTTTTCATGTGGAAAAGTGGGGGCATATTTATAGATTTTTTAGAATGGTGTTCCCCGTAAATATGGAGAAGATAAGGGGCAAAATCAGAGTGTTCCATTGAATGACCTATATTGATCCCTTTGATCATAGAGCGTTCATCAAGCACTTAAGTGCCATAATGATGTCGAAATAAGCGATATTGGGCTTGTGGATTCGACTAGTTGAGCTGCTCGATTCGACTACCAGCATGTTATACTTAGATATTATTTGGTTATTCAATTTATGCTTTAAACATCCAAAATGTTCATCGGTCCCTTGATTTGGACCCATTTGGGCTCGAATTTGATTGATTTTGCTGTCGTTGGGTTCGTCTCGCTAAGTCGCTCACTTTGACTATAAGTTTGCTGAAATTGGGGTTCATATGATCATGAATTTAATTTCAAAAGTTTCCAACTTTGATATGCCTTGAGATTCGTTTTTAATCAAGACAATTTTTGGTGATGTATCAATAATATAATGCATATAAGAGATAAAGAAGAAGAGAATAAAGAGATAGAGAAAGATGTATTAACCAAGATATAAGGAGAGACATAAATGTAAAATAGAGCAAAAATTATTTTAAAATTGAAATGTACTTATTTGGATTTAGTTTTTATTATAGAAATTTGCATAATTTTCTTCCTAACAATAAATATTGTCTATTTATAAGCACATATGATTAAGGACATGTCAATGAGAATCAAGAGAGCACCAAAAATCCCAATATATTTTACAATGCAAAGATGGCCGGTGGTGGTACAAATATTCATATAATTTGTACTTCCTTGACTCTTAGAATATTGATGTGCTTGGCTTAGTTTAGGATTATATTGATGTCACCAAGTGAAGGTTGACGACTTAAAAAAAATAGTGTTAGGTTTTAATTATGAGAGGGAATTCAGGTGCCAAGTATATGTTTAAGGCTTTCTTTGAGACGATTTTTTATTGATTTTTAAAATAGAGTTTTCGTACAAAGATTAAAATTTTTGTACTAAAACTCTGTTTTAAGATGCACTAAAAAAGTCATCTCAAACGAAGTCTAAGAGAAAGAGATTAGCTCCCAAGCGTAAAGTCAAGAGGAGTGATGATGAAAGAAAGTGAAGTGAAAATGGGTGAATGTGGATGGTAGCCATTTAGGAGAAGACTATATTAAAATGCGAAGATATCTCTCTTATTTTATAATAGGACTATACAAAAATTTAGAGAGTACAACAATATGAAGGAAACCAAAAAGATAAATATGAAATTAATAATACAATAATCAAAGAATAATAGCGGCCATAAATTAAGTAATATGTTATGAACCCAAAAAAAAAAAGTAATAGGTTATGAACCCAAATAGAAAATCATGAAAAATAAGAAAAAAATATTTCATGAAAAGGGAAGGAATGTAATTTGAAGCTTGCTTAAAGGTTCATGCTTGTAGTACTTTTTTTTTTCTTTGTGAGGGCAAGTAGTTCATAAAAAGCTCCATTGCGTCTACATGCTCGCTTAATGCTCTATTCTCTCAGCGGAATGTATTTATAGACTCCTAGGACTTATTAAGATATAAAATAATAACCCATAACTTTTAACTACCTAATGCCAACTAAATGCCCATTATATCATTTATTACGAACATTATCAACCCCTTCACAACGATCTTACTCTCATGTTCGATCATATCAGTACTCAAGTGAAGATAGTGCTTTTAGTCACACACGTGAGCTCAAAAGGGGCATGGATGGGCAAATCTAGATGGTATACAATATATGGGATTAAACGATGGGATCTAGCAAACTGCGATGACAATATTTGAGTTGATGAAGGAGAGACGTGAGATATGGCGGAGGTAATGTCGATTTTGGGTGGAGTTGCTAGCAAAAGATTTAGGATGGTGGGGACATTAGAGACGAGGATTGGATTTGATAGATCTGAGTGTAGGACAAGTCATTGTGGCTTGGAAGTTGAAAAATTGAGGTGGAGAGATCCTGATTAGAAACAACAACATTTGTGTGGAGAATTGGAATGGTTGGACGTAGATGGGGTTTTGGATATATGGGATATAGGTATAATGTGTGAGGTTGTAGAACAAGGCCCATCTATCTAGTATTGTGAGTGGTGGTCCTATCAGACAAAATCAATGAGTTTTAACTCGAGTCAGTGACAATGAAAATAGTAATGGTGAAGGCACTCGATATATAGCTGGAGAATGTCAACGAAAGCGTCATTGTGTTGAACCCTAAAAAAATTATAAGACAAGAATAATAAAAATATTGCAATAAAAGATAACTAGGAATTTTGTGACTAGCCTAATACTCTAGGTAGCAAGGGGGGAAAAATATTTGGGTAATTGGAGGATGCCAACAACAAATGCTCCATTGCTTCTACATGCTTGTTTGATTCCCTAATCTCCCAAAAATAAATTTGTATTTATAGACTCCCAGAACTCATTAAGACACATAATAACAACTCATAACTCTTAACTACCTAATACCCACTAAATACCCATAACATTATTCATTCCTAACATAGTACATTTTATAATTTTAAGAAATAAAATCTCAACAAGGAATTAACAGGTAAATCTTATAATAAATCTCATAGCAAACAACCTCATAAGTTTAAAGAAAATTAGAACTAATTATTAACCACATTACTTAGGAATATATCTTCAAGAGAAAATTCTAATCAAGGAGGCAGATTATATATACGTATGTCAATGGCACGTCTTTATAAAATTTCTTCAAAAAAAAAAAAAAATTTTTTTCTATGTTTCCATTAATTTTAACATACCTTATTAGTCTCTATCATCATGACACCGCCCGTCATCCCCCCGCCGGCGGCGGCTGCAAACCTGATAGCTCTGGCTTTGACATCCATACGCTCGAGGCAACGAAGAGCACCAATAACCGAATCAATCGCCGACGCGGAATTCTCCGCTCGAACTGTAATAACCCTATCTCCTTCCACCTCAATCCTCTGTTCAGTTCTCTCACTACTTGTTCCCTCGGCCATTTCCTCCGCCGGTGCCGCCATTCTCATCAGCTCCTCATTTCTCTTCTGCAGCCCTTCCTTCACTCCCTTTAGTTCTCTCACCAACGCCGCTGCCGTCTGCACTATCGAATTCTTATCCGCCTGCACACACGCATTTGATATATATTTTAAATGAAAAAAATTAGATTTTTCTTATGATTTGCGTTTAAATGAGCGTACATAAAAGAATTTGATTTGAAATAACTGCTATACAAAATTAACTAATTTTCTGTATTTTCTGCTCCTCTTAAAACAGAATAAGAGAATAATCAGAATTGTAAAGGGCAATGCACATACCTTTGTACTAGGAGAGAGAATAGCATATAAATCAGCGTAGCTTTGGCTAAGCCTCTCCCGTCTCTGCCTCTCGCGCATCATATGCCGAAACCCGCGGCTCCCTTCGCCTCCGCTGCTACTCCCGCCCCCGCCCCCGCCTTTACTCTCCTGTTTCCCTCTTCGAATCCTCCTAAGCAACTCAATAATCCTTCTATGAATATTTCCGCCGCCTCCGCCACCGCTGCCTTGAGCTTGCGGCGGAGCCGCAATTGGTCCTGTGTATTTAGAGAAGGCGCTGCGCCTCGCCATCGACGAGGCAGGACGAGAGAGGTGTTGGGTGACGGCGTCGAGGAGATCGACAGTGGGGTCCACGGATAAACCCCAGAAATCTTGGAGCTCATCTTGGTCGGGGAAGAAGAAAGGATCCATTTTGTTTGGGAATTTGGGTGCTTTCGCGCTCACAGAGGGAAAGAGGGCTTTTATATGAGGAATGGAGCTGTCTTTTTAAGCACGTGGTCAACGTGATGTTATTGCACAGAAGGCTCGTTGGATTCATGCGTCAAAATAATTGCCTTCGCCACGGGGCCACGGGGAATCCAAATTTATAAAACGTGATCGAATTGCTTAATTGAAATATTGTAATTAATAAATAAAAAACACGTGCGGAAATTTGATCGAAGTTTCAGTGATCATGTTCTTTGTTTTTTCTAATCATTTTAGCTTTTACGTCAAGCAGATTGACTGCTTGGTGTACAGAGAGAAAGGTACTTGAGAGGGATTACAGGCCTTCCATTTGCATTCAGATTTGTGCTCTAAGGACTTGGACTTGATCAAATGATCAAGGCAGCGATGCATCAATAGATCGGGTTAAAGGATAAGTCAAAAAACATGTTAAGATTAACGAATAAATCTATTTTATTGATGAAAGTTTTGAGAAAAGAACAAATTTTGATTTGTGAAGTTGGCTCATTTTGGAGTCCTGCTGGCTTATTATTGTTAATGTAAATAGAATCTACGAGGGATTGAGTTGGTTCAATCGATGCTAAATGTCAAATTAAAAAATTAATATAGTTTATAAATTTGATATGAATTTTGAAATAATTTTTATATATTAAAGTAAATAAATATGTAGTCTAAGAGTATTAATAATAGATTTTGAGATCATATAAATTTAATCATGATTAAATTTATAGTTGTGTATTTAGATATGATGAATTAAACGATATCAATAACATATGAATCTAAGATCGAATCTTGGAAATATAATTGCGGACAATACTAACAAGACATCTATTGAATCATCATTTATTGTCCGCTTTCTTGACATCGTTGAGGCTTAGCGCTTGCCAACTATTCATGTCTTAAATTAACGCATCTAGAATTGCAACTCACTTAAACTTGCAAGTTCTTTTGATCGTTGGCTTATTTGATTTCTCTTAGGTTATTTGTAGTTGAAGATTGACGTTACTATCAGGATTGGTTGGTTAAGCCAACCGATTAAGCAATCAGCCCGATTTTAATTTTTGTATGTTTTGTCCTATTGATGGTTATTATGATCATCAATATGATCGGTTCTTATCATATCCTAGTTATGAAGAGGCTCAATTCTTATAAATAGAACTTCCTCTATCTATTGTAACTTAGTATTTATTGATTTGAAATAAAATTCATGTTAAGTAAATTGCTAATTAATTTATGAATCAAATATTAACTGTAATTAAGTTCTACTAATTTGCACATTAGATTAGTTAAAACCTATTTTTAAAGCTAATTAAATTTCTTTTGCATAGCCTATATTGTGTTGCTTGTTTCTTTGTTTTCTCTTGTGTTCTTTATTAATAGAAGGTTAGGTCTTTAGGTTTGAGGCGTGTGATCAAAAAGAAAAGGAGAACCAAGTGACAAAGGAGGGTGAACCAAGTGCAGGAGGTTAAGCTAAAGCAGCTCTTAGGCGTGAGCAAGAGAGGGCTTGTTGTGCGATTCATGGGGAAATCGAAAAGAGATCTTGCATTTGGGAGAGGTAAGTGTCTTTGCTATTGAACTCTTTCATTTGTAGCTCTTTTGCAATTGGTCGACGAGGCTATTGCATCGTTGGGTGGTCATTTTCTTTTTTGAGAAGGAATTGACGAATTTGAATGTAAACAAAGAGGCAATCTCAGGTGATATCTCTCCATTGTAATTTCTATAAAGAAATTTGTATCCCTTTGAAAGATTTTTTCATTCATTGGAAGTTATTATAAATTTCTTGTGCAAGTGAATAAAAGAAGCAAGCCCTCTTTCTCCCCGTGAATGTAGGCACCTCGTGTCGAACCACGTAACCCCTTGTATTCTTATTTATTTTGGTGACTGATTTTATATCTCTTGCATATATCTTATTTTTCCTTCTCAAACAAACAACATCTTATTATAAATTTTCTATGGAATGCTCACATTCCAGCAACAAATAGAGTCATCAACCTTTTTCTAGCATCCAACATCCTAATAAGCAAGACATATTAAGGCCTAACTAGCAATTCTAATCATCAAATAAAACTTGCATGACTATGAGAGCTAACATAAATGCAATCATTCAATCACATCTCCTATCAATATCTGATTTATTCTATTATTTTAAAAGTCGTCTATGATACTTTATAAATAAGCATATGATCACTTAGAAAATTCAAGGGAGAATCTTCCGGTTCCAGTAAGTTCATTACTATTTTTTTAAAAAAAATTTCTAGTTCAAAAATTTATAATATAATTTTTTTATAAAAAAATAATTAAAAAACGGTTGCAAACGAAATTTATATTAGCGCCAGATCGTCCCAGGACGATCAGACCAAAAATCGATCGTCCCGACCGTCCTGGACGATTCCCAGAACTATTCTCAGGCCGATATTTTCTACAGTGCCAATCGGCCTGGACGATGTCCAAATCGGCCTGGACGATATGTACAGAAAATCACCTGGAGCAAAACTGGGCAAAATCTGGAGCAAAATTACAACTGATCGTCCCAGGACGATCCAGATCGTCCTGGACGATCCTGGAGCAGATTTTTGATATTACAGCTTGTGAGCGGGAAATCCAAATTCCTAAAAGATTGAGCACTTGACGGAGGACGATCTCAGGATGATGATGGCGGGTGCGACTATGAGCTCGGGACGACGACGGCAGACACGACTACGAGCTCGTGACGATGATGATTACGCTCAAGACGGCGACGGACGTTGGATGTGACGACGAGCTCGGGACGATGGATCTCGACAGCAGATGTGATGACGAGCTCGGGATGATGGATCTCGACAGCGGAGCTCGGGACCACGAGGGCGGACGAGCTCGAGACTACGACAAACACGGCGAGGGACAGAGCTCGAAAGCAGAGCTCGACGAGCCATTCGACAGGAAGATGAGTCGAGCTCGACTCGAGTTCGAGCTCGATATTTGATAGTCAAACTCGACTCCAACATCCCCTAACTTGAGCTCAACTCGACTCATTTGCACCCCTAGCCTATATTGAAGTAGATTTTAGCCGGTTTGAAATTTTCGTACACTTATTGCTAAAGCTATGAAGACTGTTCGTTCCTCTGATCAAAGTGGGAGAATCAAGAAACCGAGTAATGGACGGTCAGAGATCACCGAGCGACTAATGAGGGCCGTAAGTTATTTCCTGAGAGTTGGTATTAACTGCCACTCGTTCGCTGGCGGGCGGACAGCAAAGTAAAGGTCCAAAGTGGGTGGACTTTGGAAGCTTCCTCGAAAGCTGCTCAATACTTCTATAACGGAAGACTCCGATTTTTGATTAAAGGGTTACCTAACTTTGGAAAAACAAAGTTATCATGATCGGATTTCTTCGGATAAGGAATTTATGTTCTTATATTTTTAAATATGTTATTACGATTACTATTATTTTGATAAAAAAATATAATTTTAGTTGAATTTATCCTAACTTCGCTCCTAAAATATTATAAATAGATTCCATTCTACGCTTGAGGTTGGAGACCAACATCATATAATTATTATCACCTGACTACCGTTGTTAGACTGCGATCATCTAACTGCCATTTTTCGACTAACATCTATGGCAACTGAAGGAGACTAAGCAAATGCTCTCAAGTTAATTCCAACTTCTCCATATATGTGGAAGAGTGTATTTTTATAACTTTAATTTTATAGTAGATTATTTCAATTAGTTTAGGCCTCGTAATTTATTCTATTTGAAAATTCTTATATAAAAACTCTGGTATATTCTATATTCTTCTCTTTTATTCATGTGTGTTGGATCTTCATACAAAATTAAAACATTAAACTCTATTTGTTACCATAAAATTTTCAGAACATAATAGTTTAGTGCCGTCTGCGATAAACTTATAAATACTTTTTTCGATGCTTCATTAATCAAAGACAACATAGTATAGTTAGTGAAGACCATTCAAGCTTCATTTTAGAAGATTGTATGCTTGGGATGAAAAGCTTCAATATCAAATCGTTTAGGTCATAGAAGAGATTGGACAACAAAGAACACAATCACAACATAATGAGATTCTCTCATCACAAAAACAATAATAGTCTAAGGCTAATCAATCTGATGGTGGCCATGTAGAACCTCTTCATCATCATGTAGTAGCTCGTCCACCACAACCTCATCAAGACATCTTTGATTTTCCTATTTTAACTCAACTTTTTCATGCTGCTCGATCAACTTGTAATCTTTTCGTAGCCTTGGTCGACTTAAATCCACCTCACTTTTTTTATGTTGTTTGTGATGCTACAAGAGATAAATTTTGATGCATTATTTAGGAGGGATTCCCTTTGAGAGAAATGAACTAACATACTCTTTGCCCCCATTTTCAAGAATCTTCACTTCTACTAATGTAATTCTCTAACATTTTATTTCTGACTAATGTAATTAATTTTTATGATGGGTCCTCAAATCCTTATGCGCATATCATTCATTATAGGACCATCATGTACATTTAAAAATTTTCAATACGCTTTGGTCAAATTAAGGAACTAATTTTAAAAAAAGATTGAAATTATGATTGAATATATTTTATGTAATTAATGGCTCTAAGGGGAGGTCCACATCAGCATTTATGGAGTGATCAAATCCTATAAATTTTTTTGAAATTTTAATTTTGCATCACGAATTTTATGTAAGACTCAATATATAATTTTGAACAACACATGATTTTTTGCCTAAAAATAGGAGAGCAACTGATGTAATAAAAAATTGATGTGATCAAGCATAAATCTCGAAGTAGTATTTGAATTAGAAATTTTAAAAATTAAAAATAGTGAATTGTAGCATGATAATGAGGAGGCACTTCATAAGTTACATTAAATTGATCCTATTATTATTATTATTATTATTATTATTATTATTATTATTATTATTATTATTATTATTATTATTTTGGGAGAACTCTATCATGTTGTAATAGAGTTCTTGATTGTTTAGC